CATCAACTCATTTATGGGGTGTGTGTGTGTGTCTTTGTGTCTTTTTGAGTCAGGGTCTTGCTATGCAGCTCAGGCTGGCCTTGGGCTCACTTTGTAGCCCAGGCTGTCTGGAACTCACAGTGATCTTCCTGCCTCAGCCTCCCGAGTGCTGGGATTACAGGGTACCCCACCACACCTGGCATCTGGTTTGATTTTTTTATACAGCCTCATTCAATTGCTTTGTTACTACCACTTCAGAGAGGCCAGCTGGGTGGCTTTGGATTGCCCCCGGGTTTGCCGTTGCTAAACTGCACGTCTCGGGTTCCACGTTGTGTAGGTGTCTTCTTCTTTTTCTTTTCCTTTCTTTTAAGTTTAGTTCCTTCTTGATGCTTGTAAATTGCCTCTGGTTGAATATCTTTATTGCTAGCATTTAGAACCCTGCGGAATGACCATTTCTCGTATGTGTCTTCCAGAGATAGCGTGTTTTTGGGTTTTGAGTCTGTTGGAAGATTCGTTGTCTTCGCTTTGTTTGGGATGAGAAGCTTGTACCTGCTGGCCCAGCCCCTGGTTCTTTGGGCCCTGCCCACAGCATTTTCTGTGACCCTTGGTCAGTCTCAGCTGTGGCATACGGGGAAGAACAGATGGTTTGAACAGTGATGTCACCTTGGCTAAGGTGGCACAATCGGCAATAATAGTAGTACCAGAGACAGCCCAGGAAATAACAAACTGAAGTGACCATTAATTTGCTATCTTTAACCATATAAACAGACTTGTCATTATATAATAAAATCTAAAACAAACCTGAAAATTCTTTGCAGTGAATAAGCCCTTTTACTCTTGGGAGAAAATTTAAAAGGGGTAAGGGAAAAGAAATAGAGAGTGGCAGAAGAGGAAGAGATTGCAAGCAAGCTGGAGGGGGGTCATGCAGACTGGTACCTGGTGCTGGAGACAGAAGTGAAAGAGCAGGAAGGGATGAAGAACAACAGCACCACAAAGGAGCTAGTGATAGTGTTCACACTTGTCTGGAAACAAGATCAGCCAAGGAGAAAAGAAGAGAGAAAGATAAGAAAGTCTTCTTCCAGGGTTGTGTCTGTCGCGGGTGGACAGCGTGTGAGACGAGGGCAGATCGGGTCGATCATCCCAGGGGCCGGCAGTGGCTTCGGGGCAGGTATGGGTCATCTTAGCAAGCTGCACCTTTATTTTCCCTGCTTTCTGGCCGTGAGGCCGGGCTCAGACCCATTCAGCCTGCAGCAGCCCGGTCCCCTTCTGCAGGTTTCAATAGCAGGGAGCGCTGGCTGGACTCCGCCCTTGCTCTGAGACCCTCGCTCTGCCCGCTGCTCTCCAAGATGGGTGCCAGTGATGCCCCTCGCCCTGGGAGGTCCATCCCCCAGGCGCTCACCCCAGCCAGCACAATCCTCCAGGTGCACTGCTCCGCTCCTGGGCTGCAGTCTCTGGGCTCTTTGTAGAGGCCTTGGGGTTTGCCAGCAGGTGTGACCCGCCCCACCCACTTGGGGAGCAGGTGCTGCCACCTCCTTCTTGGCTGGGGTCTCTCTCCTCTCCCCATGGGGTGCAATCCTCACTTCAGACCTGGGATCCTGGGAGCCCATGCCCCTCCCCCTCGGCTCCTCTCGGTCCAGTGTCTGGATGGCGACTCGCAGATGGGCCATTCTCTGCCTCCGAGCACTCCATCTTCAAGAGTGGTCATCACAAAATGCTGATGTTTGTAAACAGCGCGGAGGACACAGCTCAGAGTGAAGACAGATGTCATCCCTGGCCTCACCTGGTGCCCACACAGGCTGGCCTCTGCCTGCACCCTGGAGGGACCTGTAGGAGCCCGACTGGCTCAGGCCAGTTCTCAGCTGGGGGTCCAGGGCGTTCTGCAGTGATAGGCAAGGGCATTTTCCCTCAGCACCACCAGCTGTTTGCCTAGGTTCTTTTCTGGTTTCTGTGTGTGTGTGTGTGTGTGTGCGCGCGCGCGCGTGCGTGCGTGAATGCACACGTGCGTGCATGGTACTGGGACTTGAACGCATGGCCTCTGCACGAGGTTGCTGAGCTGACCGTGCTGGGCTCAAACTTTCCTTCATCTGGTCTCAGTGTCTCGGGGCTGGGCTGTGAGCTTGTGCTACAACCCCCAGCCCCTGTGGACTTATTTATTTTTTTTTTTTTTGGTGGAACCCGGGATTGAACTCAGGCCTTTGCACTTGCCAGGGAAGCGCTTATTCCACTGAGCCATCTCCCCGGCCCCCTACGGACATCTAAACAACAGTGCAACCCACAGTGCAGATCGCCGGCCCCAGCCAGAGTCACCTGGGCTTGCTAAGGTGGAGTGGCCCTGTCTGAGGGCGCATGCGCGCTTCCACCCTGACTGAAGGGACACCTGAGGGAGCCACTCCTTGAAGGTCTGGGTGCTGTGTTTTAAACGATCCTCCCCTAAACCATCCCTTTGCAACAGAGGAAGGGCAAGGTGCACGGCTCGCTGGGAATGGGCAGTGTGGCTCCATCCTAGGGCTGTGCTCCCATAGTGGCCTGGGTTGTCACTTTCCCAGAGTGATGCGGGATTCCCTCTGAGAAAAGTGAGAGGTGGATCACTGTTAAGAACAGCAGTTGGGGCTGGTGAGATGGCTCAGTGGTCTAAAGCACCTACTTAGAACAAGCTTAGCAAAGCACAGGGAACGCGGTTCAATCCCCCAGCACCACATGCCAGCCAGCCCCGCCCCCTGGTGGGCTGAGCTGGCCACACACACACACACATGCACACACACACACACACATAAATAAATAAAATATTAAAAAAAAAAAAAGAACAACAGTCGGAGGGCTGGCCAGACAACTCAGCCCTGGTTTGATCCCCTGGCCTGCCCTGCCAGCCCATGAGATGGCAGTGATGGCGTGATGGCACACGTCTGTAATCCCAGCGCTTGGGAGGCTGTAAACAGGTGGATCACTATGAGTCAGATCTAGTAGTGAGGCCCTAAACACCCTGTAGACCCTTCCCTAAAGTACAAACAAAACAAAACACGACAACAACAACAAAAAAAACCCCAGCAGTCGGGGCTAGATGTGGTTAATCCCAGCACTCAGGAGGCTGAAGCAGGAAGATCACTGTGAGCTCAAGACCAGCCTGGGCTACAGAGTGAGCTCAAGGCAGCCTGAACTGCACAGCAAGCCTCTGTCTCAAAAAGACAAAGACAAAGAATGAAATGCCTCCAATGTGAATGTAGCCATCTAAAATGTACCACTAGGGAGTGAGGGAGGCGTCAGCTGGGAGGGTTTAGAGGGCTAGAAGTGGAGCACTGCGGATGCTAAACTCTGTGGGTGCTGGTGGGGGCAATTCTCTCTGGGCTGTGATAGTACACAACCTTTCTTGTGTTTCTTCTTAGTAGTTTAATTCCATGGCTTTCCTACATTGCATATTTGTTGCTTTTATTTACCAATTGGGAGATCAGAGAAACAGAAATCCAGAAAGAGTAGAAGTGGAGCCTGGGGTTAGGTGTGAGCTGAGGTGGGGCACACGCCTGCGGCCCTGCGGTTGCACCCCAGCACTGGGAACCAGCCACAGCGCTGGGCTTGGTGCCAGGAGTCGGGCCCAGGCCGCTCCCTTCCGGCTCTCTGCACTTTGAGCCTGTTCCTGTGGACCCAGCTAGGGCCTGGGCTGTGGGCTCTCGCAGAACCTCAGCCTGGCCCTGCACGCGGCCCCTCTCACCAGCGGCTGTGCGCCTGCGTCCACTTGGAGGCCCTGCTTGTGGGGACACCCGGCTGAGGCTGAACTTCCCGAACCTTTGCTAAACACTGCCCAGGGTAGGAATCTACTTACAGCACAGAGAAAGGATGTCACCCATACTTGTAGGAGTGAAAGGTTACTACTTAACTTGTCCCCACCGCTGGAATGGAGTGTTCCGTGGTGACCGTCCCCTCTGCAGCCTGAGCTACGGTGGGCCATGCACCAGCATCCATCGGGCAGCTCGACCCCCTGCCTCCTGATTGCCGTGTCAGGTGGAACCCAGATGAGAGCTGCCTGGCTACGAGCATGTTAGACCGCTGCTTTCCCTCCGCTGTCCTGCACGTGCCCCTTCCCTGCGCCATCCCACACGTGCCCCTCCCCCCGCCATCC